AGGCCGGTAATAAAATTGCAGGTTTGCTCATTGATTGATGAAGACTTCCGGCATTCAGTTGTCTTAACTATTATTAAACTTTTCAATGGTGCATTTGACATTTCTTTAATTATATGGTCTTGCTTACCCATCATGTCAAAAATCGAATTTATTATTAATTAAGGAAGTTTCTTCTTCAAGCGTTGTAAATAAATCTTAGATATATTAAATTAAAGAAATAAATATATAAATATCATACATATGCATTTAAAGATAATTTTATTCAGGGGTAATGATTTTGTCGAGACACTGATTAAGACAATAAACTGAATTACCGAAAAAAAGCCAATATGAGGGAGATAAGTTATCGCAAGAGTTATAATACCCCAACATTACATATGCTATTCAAAAGGTTAGGTTTACTGTATCCGCAGTGGAAGTTGCGAATTTTCGACTATGGAGAGTATAATATGCTTAATAGTTTTTATACCCTACACCATAGTAAGGAGGGTATATTAGTTTTGTTTTTCCATTTGTAACGCATCAAAATAATCATTTCCGACCCTATAAAGTATATATATTCTTGATCAGCGTAAAATTCTATGACGATCTAAGCATGTCCGTCTGTCTGTTGTAATCACTTTAGCGTCTAAGCGAATTGAGATAGAGTCCCAAAATTTTGCATAGAGTCGTCTTTTTTCTGCATGCAGGTCAAGTTCGAAGATGGGCTATATCGGTCCACGTTTAGGCAAAGCTCCCATATAAGGGTACCCCCCAATTTTCGGTATTTTAAGGATCTTGAGCGTGTTTTTCAACCGAATTCGCTGAAATTTGCTTTTTTGAGTTCTTATTTGTGTAGCAAATCTCCCCAATGAAAATTATAAATATAGGTCCATTTTTTCGGACAGCCCCCATATAAGGGTACCCCCAATTTTCGGTATTTTGAGGTTCTTGAGCGCGTTTTTCAACCGAATTCGCTGAAATTTGGTACTTTGAGTTCTTATGGGGTAGCAAATCTTCCCATTAAAAATTATAAATATCGGTCCATTTTTTGGGATGGCACCCCTATAAGGGTACCCCCCAATTTTCGTTATTTTGGGTGTTTTGGTCGCATTTTTTGACCGAAGTGACTGTAATTTGGTACTTTTAGTTCTTATTGCGTACCAAATCTCCCTTCTAAAAATTATAAATATAGGTCAATTTTTTCTGGTACCCCCCTTATAACGGTACCTCTCAATTTACGGTATTTTGTGGTTCTTGAGCGCTTTTTTTTAAACGAATTCGCTGAAATTTGCTACATTGGGTTCCTATTGGGTACTAAATGTCTCCACAAAAAATTATTAATATAGGTTCACTTTTTCTGGTAGTCCCCATATATCGGCACCGCCTAATTTTCAGTATTTTGGGGGTTTTGATCGTATTTTTCTGCCAAATTAGCTGTAATTTAGTATTTTGAGTTCTAAATAGGTACCAAATCTCCCCACAAAAAATTATGAATATAGGTCCATTTTTTCGGATAGCCCCCAATTTTAGCGGTACCCCCAATTTTCGGTATTTTGGGGTTCTTGAGCGCGTTTTTTAAGCAAATTTACTGCAATTTGGTATTTTGTAGTCGTATATGGTAAAAAATCTCCCTACCAAAAATTATTAATATTCGCCCCCTTTTTGGGGTAGTCCCCATCAGGGATGTACGCAGGGACGAAACGATTTTTTTTTCACAGTAAATTTATGTTTGCAACAGCGAATTTTTTCATTTTGTACAAACCAATCTTCCGGGATAGGCGGAAAATCAAATTCTGAGTCTAAACACGATGCTGGGGCTACGTATCCCAAAAGGACTAAACGGACTTTACGAAAGAGAAAGAGGGAAGCAATTGGTAAGGAGCCGCAATCTTATGCAAAGATTGGCAGGAGGGGCTATGGAGATCGACGAAAGTAATATTTCCGCTGAACTAAAACTGGAAAAACATAAGGAAGTTATTGATGCGATCTTTTTCCTTTTTCCATAAGTCGTTTTTGATAATGAGTTCTCAGTCACGCTCACACGCACCTATTCTAACTTTAGTTGTTCATAACACTGATCTAATGCTATGAATCATTAAAAGGCTTCGAAGCCCGGAGAAAACTAGTAGCAAGTATTGTCTCCATAAGCTAGACAATTAAACTCAAGCTGTTGGAGAAAATATACATTTCAAATCTACAAAAAGAAACTACCTTCCTCACGACCGAACGCTTTCTCGAAGTCTTTGGTCTGCAGAACAAGACAAATGAGAAGTCTTCTTCTTGTGGTAGTCTTCGACAGGCCTTCAATGGCAAATCCATCTAGGTTTTTGGAGCCATTAAAATAGGCTGCGGCCATCGCAGCTTTAAAACTTCAAGCAATGAACGAGCGCACAAAAACATAGTACTTTCTACAATCGTATCCACTTAGTCACTTCATATGAAGCTAAGATGCCGGACAAAATGGATAGCGGAACCCTAGCACAAATACCATCTGGAAACTGTTGTTACAAAGATGGCTTTCGCTAGCATGAAAGTTGGAACTGAGATTTTTTATCGCCTGCCAGATCACAATAAAGGAGTGTCTAAATAGTTATGTTTGAACTCTGGTCCTTTCTAACCCGCACAACAGCGCTTTTCACAGGATTAATCCCCCAAAATATTGGTGACTTAAGATCTATTTAAATATAAACATATTTAAAATCCAACAGCTGCACTATAGGTAATTTATATCGGGGCTACCCGAAAAATAGGATCAATATTTATAATTTTCCCCCCTCAGCCTTATGTATCATTGGACCAAATCCGTTTCAGAAAATTTGGATTCGATTTACAAAAGTCCTTCCATCCGTCTGTCTGTCTGTCTAGTTGGCTGGTGCGTACAATAACTCTCGAAGGGAGTTATCAATTTCATCCAAACTTTGCGCTTTGTCAAGCCTAGATCAAGTAGGAAGATGGGACCCATTGGTACACTCATTCTTGTACCTCCCCCACAGTGGGTCAAAAATGTCAATATTTATATTTATAAACTTGAAAATTTTGTAATTCCGAAACCATAGGCTGAGGGTCGCTAACACCGACTGACACTTGTTGATAGAGAGGTTTGGTACCCAATGATAATCCAAAATCCTCAAAATACAGCGAATTTGGAGGTACTCTTTTATGGGGCTACCCCAAAATGTGCAGACAAATGACAACCAAATGCCAGCTCCCTATCTCAATTCCTTCAAAAAATAGCTTGATTGCAAACGACGGATTGTCTTAGAATTTTACCCTGATAAAGAATATATATAGTAAATAGTATATTAATATGTTGGAGGGTATAAAAAGGATCGGCCATCTTATCATAAGCTATATTAAGGGGACCCCCCCCCATTCTCGGGGTCAAAAATTTTGTTGATATAATTCGAATCTACACTAATATAGAATGTGTCTACAAATTTTCAAATGAAAATCTCAAGAACTCTTGAAGATATAGCCGATTTATTGTGTCAGCATCAAGTGACGGCTGAAGGGCTTCTCAAACTTTAAACGCGTTTTTCTCTAAACATTTTTTTGCGAATGGCGGGCACGATAACTCAAAAACTAATAATCCAATCGATTTCAAATTTTTACACGTTTCTCTGTGAGTGTATAGCTATCGTATGAACTAGGATAAAGCCAATCGGTGAAGATCTTCCTTATTTTTTAACTTGGGTTTTGGTAAAAAATCGGCGATTTTCCAAAAATATTTTTTCAAAGGTCCGCCATTTTGTTAATTTTAGAGCGAAGTCAATAATCCTAGTTCATACGAGAGCCAGACATGTACTCTTTCTAACACCGTTGGAATTTTCGGATTCCGATGTTCCAGTGAGGAGTTATCGTGCCCGCCATCAAAAATAAGGACTTTTCTTTAATTACAAAAAACAACAACAACAAAATTTTTTTGTAAATTATTTTTCTTCTATTTTAAATCTTCAATTATATATGTGTAAAGTTACAAACCTTAACAAGCATTGGTATTGATTTACAAGCCCATTGAAAATCTTGAAAAATTAAAACGGGGATTGGGGGGGGGGTTCCCTTAAAGCAATCAGCCGGCATATAAGAAGCATTTAAATATTCAATATAATTCCGACGTTTTTCATGTTTCCAAGTAAATGTTTATTGCGATTAGCATGTAGATTCTAGGTCCATACTTTGTGTATGTATACATAGTTTGTTGTATATAATTGTGTATTTATTTATCTTCCATTGACATCAGCATGGTCATAAACGAGGCTGCGGTTCTATACACCTAGAAATACAAAATATATACATTATGTTAAACGTTGTCATTCATAACGAAGTATTTTATACAAACCCAAACGAACAAACTTAAATCGGTGGTGAAAAATATGCCTCTTATATCGCAAGGTTTTTGGGCTCTGATCATGGTCAACATTAGGATTTTCTGCGAATTAATACTCATGTCATGCCAAGGGAAATATTCATAGATTGCCTCATTTACAGAAGTGCTCTAGAAAAAAATATTTTTTTTTCCATTTATAGACCCCAATTTAAAATAACCACTTACCGAATCTTGAATTTTCTGACCACCATGGCAGTATAACATCAACTGCGTCGTCACTGCTATCAAAAAAGACAAATTAAACGATTGATCGGCAATTTCTCCACCCAAAGGAATTATAAATGACAGGCATGCGAGCTGCAGACAACTAACCAAAAATTTAATGAATACCAAACCCTTATAGACTTCACTAAAACGCTCCGACATTTTAATAATCCTCCGATGATAGTTTACACACGAAGTAAGAGATTCTAAAAATTTCTTTTCATTGAGATTTCCAGCCGCATGATGGGCAATAAATTTCTCCGACAATTGACGATATCGTAAATTTAAAATACGAAATTGTGCAGAAATATTATGAACACACCAGGAATACAATGTATCAATGGATAGGGCACCATTGAGTATGTAGTGTATGCCCACAACATTCCAGGTGTAGCAGAGAATATATGCCATATATGAAGCTCTGATGTCGTAGAAGTATCTGAAATAGAAATAAAGCGATGTAAAATAATGGAACAATATTAACAAATTTCAAATGACAAATTGAGGACACTTCGGATTCATTAGAATATTGAGCATACTTCCAGGTGGTATTTTACAATTTAAAACTTCGAAACGACAAATTGAAGACCCTTTAGTTTGGTTAGAATATCGAACATTCTAAAAGTGTGGCAGAACCTGTATATGGGGTCTATGACAAAAAAATTGACCTATATTCATAATTCTTGCCATGGTCTATTTCTAAGAATCCGAAATGTCAAATTACAGTTACTTCGACTCTGAGAACCTGAAATTCTCAAGTTTGCGGTCAGTTAATTTGGAAATCCGGTTATGGCCTTTAAACTGCCCGAATTGGATTCGGGTTCATGAATTGGGGTCTATGTAAAATCCTTGATCAATACTGACAATTTTCTGCCATGAAGTATTTTACGATTTGAAAGTTCGAAATGACAATTTGAAGACACTTCGGTTGGGCTTGCATTTAGAAAATTCATAAATTGAAGCGGAACCTTTTTTTGGGGGCTATAACCAAGAATTGGCCTACGTTGATAATTTTTTGCGGGCTGATTTATGGTCTTCCGAGGATCATAAATACCAACTAATACCTACATCGATGGGAAAGTGAGACTATAGTCATCAATATAACAAAATTGGGGCGGGAATATGTTATGTTTGTCGTGTTAAAACATGGATCTGCATTAACACTTTTCTACGAGGCTATATATAACTCTCTGCATATCCACAAAAAATATATCTACTTACTCCGCCTTGAATGGCGCATCCAACGATTCCATAAAATTCCTACCCTGTAAAGCATAAATTGCCGCTATTGCCAGGGGAGCTAAAGCTGCCAAGACGCCAGTGATGTTTACCATAGAATAATAGAACAACGAAATTCTGGCATCTCCCTTATTTTCTTCATCAATGATTTTAAGTTCCTCTTCGGTGGCTGAAAAAAAATCGCAATTACCAGAAAAAATAATAAAACCCCCTTTCCACTCACACTCCAATGTCCATGACCAAACTTTTCGCACCAATTCGACAATTTTCTTACGATTTACCATAAAAACGAAAAACTTCACAGTGGATAGGAGTGACTGCCAAAAGGGCGATAGAGCTGTAATCGCTTTACCCAAATCAATTTGCAAATAATTGAAGGCATATACGCCCATGGGACCAAGTAAACCCATCAAACTCAACAACGGTATAAATGTCATCCAGGGTCGATACATTGTACGCTTTATAGATGTGGGGTCCAAACCAATAGCTGAGAAACACATCCTTTGTATGAAAAAGAAATTCTTCAGCCTTGTTTGTGGCGGTAAAGCATCCGGTGGTGTTGGTACGCCAAACATTCTCGATGGAAATTCTTTGCTAAGCTGTTGAAAACTTTTTGCAGGAGTAGGCAACTGTCTGCTGTATTTATATAAACTCTCATTGTTTTGTTCTGTTTTAGAAAGCAAGGTAATGGTTATGGTAGGCATTTAGTTAAATTGCAGGTTTGGCCAGACATTGATGACGATTTTTCATATCAAATTTACATAGACATCCATTAAAGTATATAAATTATATATTTGTTATGTCTGAATCCATGTGGTCTTATTTGCTAAACATATTAGAAATAAAATGAAGCAGACTGCATTTATTGTATTGTGGATCTTTTATTTATATAAAACATGTGAGCAAAGGCTAAAGTCAGGCGGGATCGGCCATGGAATACCCTACACCACAATCTTTTGACTTACATTTTTGTTTTGAAACTCACATTTTTTTAAAACCCACCACCAAATTATAAATATAGGTCAACTTTTCCTTCTAGCCCACATATAATGGTACCCCTCAATTTTCGGTATTTTGACGTTCTTGAGCGCGTCTTCAACCGAATTCGTTTTTTTTTTGGCATTTTGTAGTCGTATATGGTATCAAATCTCCCTCCAAAAAAATAATTAGACATAGCACATCATATAATCCTCCATGAGTTCCGTAATTTTCATATTTTAGATTTAATGAAAAAATCCATTTAAAATTTCTGAAATTTTTATTTGATGTTTCATATGGTTTACAACAATCGCGCATCACAATTATCGGTATTGATATACTTTTTGTAACTATCAGTATACCTATGGTGGAAATTACCCGGTCGAACTTAATGCCTTTTTCACTTGTTATTATTATAATTGTTAGTGTAATCGGACTAACTTCCGAAGGGCAGGTCATGTTCGAAGAAGGGTCCATAACCATCGATAATAGGGGAGACTGGGGCACCTTTTTGTTTAGAGCTCTATATCTAAGTACTTATTCAACATATATAAAAACTTTATGGCTGATTATTGTCCTCTGACACTTAATTATAAAAACTAATGCCAAAAAGATATAATAATTTAGTATTAGTTAAAAATACCCTACCCGGGGTAGCTTCGGCATTTGATGGGGCACATTCGGCACTATAGTCATAGCCTAGTAATTATCATCGCTATCAATCTGGATGAAATTCAGATCCTCTAAAGACTCTATTTGGTTTTAATACGCGACACAATGTTTGAATTTTAGGGCTATATTTTCTAGCGGCGGATGTTGAAATCTCAAGGTCGCACACACCATCAGAAATAGGTTTTTTTCTATCGCATTTTCGTCAATACGAGCACGTTTAGTCTTATATATGTAATTTCGAACCATATTAAAGAATTATTTTGAAAGACAAACTCAAAACCAGTAAGGAAAGTGGTAAAGTCGGACGGGGCCCAGTATATGATACCCTTCACCACTTTGGGTAAATTCAACAGATGAATCTTAACAGACGTCGCATTTTTGATTTTCACGAAACTTAACACACATCATCTAGACTTTATTCAGTACGCTGTACCAAATTTCGTGGAAATCGAAAGGTATACAGAGACTTTGGTACACCATTTTCCTTAAATCGGACGAATATATATATGGGAGTTATATCTAAATCTGAACCGATTTTCACGAAACTTAGCACACATCATTCTATGCTTAATTCAGTACGCTGTGCCAAATTTCGTACAAATCGAAAGATATTTAGGGACATTGGTGCACCATTTACCTTAAATCGGACGAAAATTTATATGGGAGCTATATATAAATCTGAACCGATTTTTATGAAACTTAGCACACATCATTCTAGGCTTAATTAAGTACGCTGTGCCAAATTTCGTGCAAATCAAAAGATATTTAGGGACTTTGGTGCACCATTTACCTTAAATCGGACGAAAATATATATGGGAGCTATATCTAAATCTGAACCGATTTTTCCCAATTTCAATAGGGTTCGTCCTTGGGCCAAAAAAGTGACGTATGCCAAATTTCATCCAATTCGGATAATAAATGCGACCTGTACTTTGTTTACAATTTAACATGGACAGTCAGACGGATGGACGGACGGACATGCATAAATCGACTTAAAACGTGATTATATGCATATTCTCAAAAGGAACCATGGGTCTATCTTGATTCCTTTTGCCTGTTACAAAGATATGATACCCTGTACCACAGTGTGGTGAAGGGTATAAACATTTTAAGGAAATAATATTGCCCTATCTGTATATGGCTGAATGTGCCCCACTTTAAAATGCCGAATCTACACCGAATGTACTTTTTATAGTTTTATTCATGTTTTTCTATCGGACTTATAAAAACATTATATTTTTAAATATTTCTATAATGATACACATCGTAATTAACCACTTTTTAATAATATTGTCTTAAATTTTGAAAACTTTTATACACGAAATACTTACGAAATGGAATGGAAATATTACAAAAACATCTGTAAAAATACAAAAATCCGTGCATCTAAATAAGTTTATTTGTTAGAAATTTCAAACTTTGTGACAATTATTTATTTCGATATTCGATACCTATGTATCGAAACTATTGATGTACGGTGAGAGCTTCATATCGAAAACGCGATTGCCGAAGGTGCCCCAGTCTCCCCTACACGCTCGTTACACTCCACGAAAAATTATCAATATCGGTCCCCGATTTGAAGTTGTTAAAGTATTGAGAAATTATGTGTCCGTATGTCCCATAGAACAAGAAGAAGAACAACTTTATTAAAAGGTATTTTCTGCTTCATAGAATTGAAACTTATTCAAACTTTTTTTTTTGGTTCAATCAGGACCTAATTTAGTACTCTGTGCAAAATTGTGTCTTCAACGGACAAATATTGGCTGCGTGGTGCTTCATTTACATAAAATCGAACAAAACTGTATATGGGAGCTATATGTAAATCTGAACCGATTTCAACAAATCTTCACGGACGTCAACCAGTAGTAGTTTCAATACGCTATGCAAAATTTTGTCCCAATCGGACAAAACTATATATGGGAGCTATAAACTAACAAAACTTCGCATACATCAATCTGGACATAATTCAGTTTCCTGTGCAAAATTTTGTCTCAATCGGACGCATGTTGAGAGTATGGTGCTCCATTTACAGAAAATCGGACGAAACTATATATTGGAGCTATATCTAAATCTGTACCGATTCAAACAAAACTTTGCAAACATAAATTTTGACCAAATTCAGTCCTCTGTGCAAAATTTTGCCTCAATCGGACATATATAAGCAGTATGGTGCCCCATTTGCATAAAATCGGACGAAACTATATGTGGGAGCTATATCTAAAAATGTACCGATTACAAAAAAAAAACTTTGCATACATCAATCTGAACCCAATTCATTTTCAATATATACAAGTAAGGACGCTTTACCGCTACGGTACTACCTACATCAAGTGTCCCAAACCTACTATGATAGTGTTTCTGTTACGGTCATCTTGGAAACCTGTAGTTGGCCCGAATTAATCTTCCGACGTGTATTTCGTCCAAAAGACTATATATAACTAACTTATTATCTAAAGTTGCTGGTCGATCTAGGCACCTAAGAGCACTGGCCATTAGAAAGTTATCTTTTCGGCTTATGTCGATGGAATCAAGCTCTACAACCCCTTTGACTGTCCTTAAGCAACATCAGGAATCCGCCTCTTCCAAATGCGCAGCCTCTCCATTTGGTAGGAATCATATCAAATCCCAAATCAAACAGGAAAGGCATACCAATTATTAGCCTTATTATCTCCTTGTAGATAAGCAAACTGGTAGCATCAAAATACGCCTTTTGCTTTCCAGATAAACCCAAACTTATTATTTAAGATAACTCCCAGATATTTAATCTGGTTTGTGTTTCTTATTGTTTGCCTCTGCGTAAGCTATGCATAACTGTCCTTCAGGCACTTGCGGTATATCACTAATAAAAATGTTGGAAAGAACGGGTCCAAGGGGGTTACCTGTCAAACTCCAGCATTAACTGATATTTCTGACGAAAGGTTCTCTTCAACCTTCACCAAAATGTTTCTTTCTGCGAGAAAACTAAACACAAGCCTATATACTTAAAATTCGAAGCCTATCCTTTTCATTTAATATATGATTGGGCCTTTTTATACCCTTCACCACACTGTGGTACAGGGTATTATGTCTTTGTGCATATGTTTGTAACAGGCAAAAGAAAACAAGAGAATATGCATAGAATCTCTTTCTGAGTCGATTTATGCATGTCCGTACGTCCGTCTTTCCGTCCGTCCGTCTGTAGATGTTAAATTGTAAACAAAGTACAGGTCGCATTCATTATCCGATTTGGATGAAATTTGGTACAAGTCACTTATTGGGCCCAAGGACGAACCCTATTGAAATTGGGAAAAATCGGTTCAGATTTAGATATAACTCCCATATATATTTTTGTCCGATTTAAGGTAAATGGGGCACCAAAGTCCCTCTATATCTTTCGATTTGCCTGAAATTTGGCATAGAGTACTGAATTAGGTGCAGAACGATGTGTGCCAAGTTTTGAGGAAATCGGTTCAGATTTAGATATAGCTCCCATATATAGGTTCGTCCGATTTAAGGTAAATGGGGCATCAAAGACCCTATATATCATTCGATTTGCATGAAATTTGGCATGGAGTACTGAATTAGGTGCAGAATGATGTGTGCCAAGTTTCGAGAAAATCGGTTCAGATTTAGATATAGCTCCCATATATAGTTTCGTCCGATTTAAGGTGCACCAAAGACCCTATATATCATTCGATTTGCATGAAATTTGGCACAGCGTACTGAATTAAGTCTAGAATGATGTGTGCTAAGTTTCAGGAAAATCGGTTCCGGTTTCGATATAGCTCCCACATATACATATATATTCGTCCGATTTTACATAAATGGTGCACCAACCTTCTAATGTTTGTCCGATTAACACGATTTTTTGCACAACATATCAAGTTGAGACTCGTTTTTTGAAATTGATGTAGATACTTTCATAGCTTCCATATGTATTTCGAATGGATGTCTGAATGAAATTAAAATTTTAACAGTGCGGCGACCTAATAGCTTGTATTAATTTTGCTATAAGTCGCTTTTCATAAATATGTCCCATGGTACTAAGTCGACTTTATGTTCCTTGGAGGGGATACATATGTACAATATACCCAAAGTGGTGAAGGGTATCATATAGTCGGACTTTACTGCTTTCCTTACTGGTTTATTTTGTTCTATACTCCTATTTTTTTTTTTTTTTTTTTTTTTTTTTTTGTTCTATACTCCTTAACAATTAAACAATCCCTTTCTATTTCTCTTTATTCGACATAATTCGCTCCATCGGTCATACTATGGCAAACCAACTTTTGTAAGCATACTACTCTGTATGATATTTTTTTAAGAGAATGTCTTATTTAAAAGAATATCTCATATTTGGTGATCTCTTTGAGATTTGAAAATAGGATGCACAAACAATTCAAAGCTGAATTTATAGAGTTTTTCAATAGATTTTAGTGGCTTATTACACTGGACATTGTTATATCCAGGACCTTCAATCTTACTTCAAGGAAATGAAATATAATATTACAAGACTATGCAGTCTACACCCATGACAGTAGTTTAGACTTCAGGGTAATATAGATAAAGTTGTATTTCATCCATTGTCTCATATCGGGGCAAAATCTCGGATTCATACTAATTATTGGCACTCCGTCTATTGCTTGTATAGAATTCCCTTATAGCGGATTGTTTATTGCTTTATAAAATAACGCTATATGTCCCCCTGAAATCAATAACAAATTGAAATTTATGGCTATATCACCTTCTGTTCCTTTTCGGAAATCAACCAATAACATTGGTAATAAAACACCACTGACATATTAATAGCCAACACTCTGCCCATATAACAGTTTAAACAACCATTCAACGTATGGAAATAGACAATAGAATTATTATAAATCCCCCACATAATAATAAAATGATATATATTAAAATTTATTATACGGTCTAATGGTAATTCTTTAATAACCAACCATTCATTCATAAACAAAGCAACAAAAAACATTAACAATTCAGGGCAGGGAGAGCACGCGACAAATAAACAATCATCATTTCATTTTCAATAGAGGTAAGAAAAAACGCTGGTTGGTTGGTTAGGCACAACCAAACACAACATCAAACATGTTGATAACATACATGTGCTATGACAACATGTTGGAGTTTGATAGCGTTCAACTATTGGGGGATAGTTGTTTGGGGCCAGGCCGTTATCAAAATTCAGTTTGTATTCAAACTTGAGCAATAACGGTTGGTCATAGCTACGGTTGTTTTTGCTACGACGGCGATCGATCAGACGGGAAGCGGCCCACGAATTGTTTTTTTATGTTTTTCTTTTTTATTTTGGCTTTTATTAAATTTCTTTTGCATAAAAAATAGACAAAACAAGTGGAAGTGACTGCAGTTAAAATTTTAAAGAAAAAAAAATAAACGAAAGGAAAAGAAAATAAAATTCAAAACCGACCACACCAAACAAATTTGTGTCGCCTGCCAAACAAGGGAACTAAACAACAACAACAAAAACGAAAACACAAGTTCCCCACTGTTGTCCAAAACGGAAATTAATAACCGCCGAATATGTTCAATAGAGAACGATTGCAGTAACAACAACAGTCAGTGTCCAAGAAACCTCAAAGAAATTTCAAATTTTGAAAAAAAAATAATTTAAGAAATTACTGGAAATACGTGATTGAAGAAAAGTAAAGGAGAAGAAGAAGCAGAGAGTTGCAACTACAACAATATTTTTTGTGAAGCATATTTAAGTGAAATTTAATTTAAACTTTTGTTTGTTGGTGGTGTCCGCAGCGGAAAATCCCAAAAAAGGTATTTTGTGGTCAATACCCAGACCAGTGGATAATCAGCCAACCGACCCAAAACAAAAAGACCCCCCTAAAAAGGAATTACAACAGCTGTCAAAGAGAAAGGTGATTTATTTTTTTACATTTATTTGACACATTTCTTCTCTTTTTTTCGTCAGTTACAAAACAATTCTTTTGTAAAAGAATTATTTTTTCCGAGAACAGTTTTTTTTCTGAAGAACAATTCAATGCAGGGCGAAGGCGATCGCCATTGAAGTGCATTATTACGAATTCATTGTGCGTAGGTTTTTGTTTCTTCAAAAGATTTTTCGTTTTTGACAGATTTTTATCATCGTTGTTGTTGAGGCTTAAAAAGCGTATCAATTGTACGGTGAAAAGGCATTATTTTTTGAGTTATCAATCATGGGTGTATTGTGTTCATCGTGGTATTTAATCCGTGGAATCTCATGGAATCTCTGGAATCTCTTACCATATTTGAATAATAAATCTGTTCCCGAACTTTTTTTACTTTTTACACTCTCTGAGTACAAACCAGTAAGGAAAGTTGTAAGGTAGGACGGGACCGACTATATAATACCCTTCACCACTTTGTGTATATTCAACAGATGCAATCTAACAGACTTCACATTTTTGAAGAGCCATTAAACGAAATTAGATTAACAAAAATATGCGATCTTTATATAAATGTGAACCGAATTAAATCAATACATAAACATGTCATTCTGCAACCTATACTAAATTTTTCATTTGGATAGATATAGAGTCGTTTGTTTACAATGGGACAAAATTATGTAAATCGATTTGTAGGAAACTTTAATTAGATATCCGTTGATTATTTGGAGCTCAACTAACATGAAGTCGGTCTAAAGTATATTGGACCTATATTTATTGCATTGGTTTTGCTGCACTATCGAATGAAACTATATATGAGAGCTATATCTAAATCTGAACCGATTTCAGTAAAACTTGGCACATTTTAGCCTATCCTAACTTCAGTACGTTGTGCAAAGTTTCGTGAAAATCGGCCATATTTTGGAGCTTTGGTGAACCATTAACTCAAAATCGGACGAAAATATATATGGTAGCCACATCTAAATCTGAACCGATTTCTACAAAACATGACACACGTTTTACTAAAGTATCTTCAGAACGCTGTGCAAAATGTTGTGCCAATCGGTCTAACTTTGGATCTTTGAAGCACCATTTACTTAAAATCGGACGAAACTATATATGGGAGCTATATTAAAATCTGAACCGAGTTTTTCCAATTTCGTCCTTGGACCAAATAAATGAGCTGTGCCAAATTTCATCCAATTCGGATCATAAAGGCGACCTGTACTTTGTTTTTCAATTCAACATGGACAGACCGACGGACATGACATAAATCGACTCAGAAAGTGTTGCTATGCATATTCTCAAAAGGAACCATGGATCTAACACTTTTCCTTAGGCCTGTTACAAACATAGGATCACTGTACCACAGTGTGGTTAAGGGTAAAATAACCTTGTAAATTTGCAAGCGAATTGAATATCCGACAACAACATTAACTCCGAAACATTGTTGATAAAACGATATACCTTATATAAAGCGAATAAAAAACCTGTGATTAATTCCGAAAAACTCTGCAAACCATGGGCTGAGGGTAGATATCAGTCGGCAACACCGACATACGCTTGTTTACTTATTAGGATAGTCCCACCGCCAAAAACTCGGTATTTTGAGGAATTTTTGAGACTTTTTTCAATCAAATTGGCTGCAATTTCCTACAAAAAATATCAATACTGGTCCACTTTTTAGCATAGCCCCTACATAACGGTATCCAAAAATATTCCGTTCAGGCCTTTTACCGAATTGCTTGTATTTTGGTACTTTAGGTCCTACCAAACATTAATATTGGTCCTCTTTTCAGGATAATCCCCATATAATTTTGCGTCCCAAATTTCGTATTTACATGTATTTTAAATGTCGAGGGTATTAAAAGTTCGGTCCGGCCGATTATACGACCTTTTTACTTGATGTCGATGTATTGATAGGTTTTGCAATTTTTCTGACTGATCTTCACTCCAAAATTGTCAATTTTGTTTATTTACGAATCCAGTGAGCCGGAAATTAGCTTCGTCGCTGGACATAATTTTTCATTAGAAAAGTAGATCCAAACCTTCTTAACAGAGCACGCATTTTAGTAATAAAATTCAAGCCTAGTTCGTTTCCATCCATCGTTAAATTATGGATCAAACTGAAGATAATAGCAAATGTATAGTCGAAGACCTAAAAGCCTACACATTGATGCAGTACCCTCTGGTAACTGCAAAATTTCAATTACAGCAAACTTCGGCTAATATCTGGAACCTTTTTGTAAAGCTGTAAACTATATTAATGGTAACATTTATAAAAATGAGTTGTGTTAACTATTAAGAACCCTTAATGAAAAATTACATCCACCTCGAATTATAAACCATAAATGTAAAATCTCCAAAAAGCGCTTTATAAAATTGCGGTCGCTTTTGGTTCCAATGTTCCAGTGAGCGTAAATTATCTTCCCGGCGATAGAATGAATATTTAATTTGTGTATTGTCAATAAAAATGCAAAGTTAGAAGACTACAAAATATATTATTTTTATTTACCACTCCAAAAAAATAACAGAATTTGGATATTGAAACGGATATATAAAAGTTTTTCTTCATAAATGCATATTCGGCTTTCAGAGTTCAATTTACATAGCTTCATGAATATAGACGAGAAGCGTTCTTTAAATTACAGGTGTAAGTTTGTATTCTTACGAGCCTTGCCGATCATTTGTATTTTTTAAAAACTTCCAATGACAATTTAAACCATTGATGTGTCATAGCCATTCATTGTACATCAGTTATTTAAATATGTCTCCCTCACTTGACAAACGATGCCTTCAACAGGTCCCAACCCATGTCTGTTTTGGCATACCAAATGATACGATTCATGTGACAAGAGGTGTATGACGCCTGTCTTCTTCATCGCACATTTAAGTACGCCTCTGTAATGCAATGATAATAATGATGATGATGATGATCACCCATCATCATCTTTTCGTTAGTGTGGGCTTTCATCTTCTTCTATGCTTCATTTCAATGAAATTTGTAATGTTTAAGAAAATTTCACTTTATATGGTTCTTACTATAAAAACAAATACAAATAACCAAATAATAAAACTAAAAATAATAAACAAAAACAACAATATCAGTGTCAATGAATGAATGAAGAGGTGTCCATAATTAATTCATACAAATGTATGTACAATGTACATACATACAACATCAAACAAATGTACTCACCTTTTGGAGAAGATTTTTGTTTTCTCGGAGTTACTTTTTTTGTGTGTGGGTAATAAATTTTCAAAAAAAAACTTTAGAAGAATAAAAAGAAGAAGAAAAACACATTCATTTAATGATTGTTTTTTGTTTTTTTTTTCGTTTATTTTTTTCGTGAATTCATTTGAATGATTATTTTCTCACATACAAATGAAAAGACTTAGGAAACAAACGTCTATTATTATTGACGTTGTTGTTGTTCACCACTTTGTGAAAAAGACTTAAGACCCAAACATGTCCCAAAATTGAATTGCATGTTGTGGGAGCTCAACCCGTCAGCCAGCACATAACCAACAACAATAATCTGACGCTCATGTTGTTCATTTGTGTGATGATTGTTCGTTTGATTTGTTTCATTCATATTTTGTCGGCAATCGTATTTAAATGACATATGTAATGTGATGGGTATTTGTTTTTGTACGCTCTATGTGCATGCGTGCAGGTTTAAGTGAATGACTATTAGTGTAGGAGGATGAATATCAAAGGGTTTGTTAGTGTAGGGGGATAAATATCAATGGGTTTGACATGAGAATAAACAGCGAAATTTATGTTTAAATTATTTTAATAGAAGTTCATGTAGAATCATTTTAAGTCCTCAGACATATCGATGAGGGCATAATACATGGTGTCATTTTGTATTAAATATTATTTCCATATATAGTTTTTTTTTAATATTGGCCATTTTACCAGAAGAAGATAGAATAAATCCTAAGGATGAATTGAATACTACGATGAGTAAACTTTGTATCAAATCCTTCTTGAGTTATAGTGCGCTCCTTCCAGCAAGACAGACAGGCAGATGAAAGGACGGACAATTCTAAATCGATATGATGGTATTAGGTATCAGACTCAGGCCAAACATAACATCCTTTTTACTTTTTGTAAAAATTTGATCTTCGAAATATTTGTCCCAATGAAAAAATCAGATTATTTTTTATAACAAAAAATCATAATACATATTTATGACCAATATGTGACATTTTCAGTTGAAGTTATCTTCCGAACATCTGTATAATGTAAATGACAAATATGCTATAAATCCTCTCCACTCCAAAACAACATCATTAAACAGAATTTGACGAATGAACATCTGCAAAAAAACTAAGCAAAACAATTGTGGTTAAACCACTTTACCATTGCCAATAAATGTTTGAACTGTGTTTTTTTGGTTTCAATACACTTGCCAAGCCATCTACAGGTGTGGGAAATAATTGGCATTGACTTAGCAGAAAATCCGATGTTTATTTAAACGATTTCAAAAGAGTTAAAATAAAAGGTAGGTTCAAAATATTGTAATTATAGTTTCAATATTAAAAAATAAAAATAATTAAAAAACGAAAGCTCAATTGTAGCTTCACTTTTAATAACTATTTTAAAAAATCGTGTATCTTCTCATATTTAAATTGTTATGATTCATCATCTAAAGTGCGGATACAAGATGCACAATAGGCACCGGTTGCTACCAAAAATAGTTATGCATGTTTTTAAAAATAATAATATTGTGGGAGAAATTCGACAGATTGTCGAATCACATCACATTGCATCATAAGCCATCTGTTTTTTAAGGAAATATAACCTACTAATCCATTTCCTTATTCAAATGTTCTAAATAAATAAAATTAATTCCTAAAACAATGGCTAATTAATGATACTGATTAAAAAATTGTGGGAATTTTGTTATGAAGTTCTTAAATCATTTGATACCCTACACAATTATTAATATGTTTAATAAATTAAAAAATGGCGTGCAAGAAAATAT